TAGCTATACCCATAATATGTCTTAGAACATTGCTTATTAATATCATTCAAAAACCTTAAAAAATATGCATTATCTGATATTACAGAAAATTAAGAATGGCCAATAATTATAATATGGAAAGATGGCTTATTAACTGGCTGTGACAGACACAATGAACTTTGATCAATGAAGTACATACATATGTTATCATAATATCTTAGCATTCTGAACCATCAATGATTGACACAAATATTCATTGTAAACGTCACATATACAGTTGCTGATGCAAATGTGGAGGAAATATCAAAGTTTGAGTTATAAATAAGATTAATATTACAGGATTTTTTGGATGTTTTGCTTCCTACATTAGAATATGCAGGTATAAATTTAGATAACTTTGTACTGTAGATATGGAATACAATAACATATAGTAGCTCCACACTTGCACTAAAAACATTGGTTAGGTGGCATTGGGCACTGGGCAGATATCCCTAACGTTAATAAATATAGGTCTTTAATTTACTTCGCCCTAAAAGTAGGACGATCCTTCATTCAAAGGAAACGTTAATGATCTACGTAATTCCATGGCTGTCACGTCCTATTGTGACATAGTGTTTATTAATAATATCCTTTTAAAAAGAAACACCTGCTACTTTTGTTCCATGTCGACTATAAAATACATGTCATGATCTTCTTTTTATGATTTTCAGTTCGCCACATATATATATACCATCTGGTAGTTTCTCCGTCTTCCCTTTCTTTCTTTTGTATTTTTCTTTTTTTCATCTGATGGTTTATGTTTTACCATCCATAAAAGTTTAATGTTTGGTTGATTTATAGTTTATTACTTTAATGCATGACTATTAAATAGATTTGTGCATTCAGTTTCAAATGAACTGGGATTTGCCAGATTTTTGGCTGATCGGCAAGTCATCTGAAGTACAATCAAATCACGAAGCCGTTTCATTGTTTTATGATTCCCCCCCCCCCAAAAAAAATATGATGGATTCCCAAAAACATTTTCTCACTTGATCTGTGAGCCTAATGGAGCAAACATTACCCTGTTGGCCCAATTTATGTGTATATTTTGCAGTATAATGATAGGTGTGTTTTCATGCCATTTTGTTTCTTCCACATTGTTTGTCCTGAAATGATCACATTAATTAAATTTGTCCGAACCGAGATGCCACGTGGACAAATCCTGAACCACCTGAAACAAACATTTTCTTGGGACAAATCAATTCGGATTAACCAACTTTTTTTCATCATGCACAAATCTAATTTTCCATTATGTTTTACTTAAAAAAAAATACACACAAAAAAAAACTTTAAAAAATATCTTATAGATTACAGGTTAATGAAAACTTTATAATTGCTTAATTCAAACTTGAAAGTCCCTTACATGTGATCATGAAATAGGGTACGTTTGATTACACTGTGAAGAGTGGAACCGGTGATATATTGTAGGGCCTAGCAATGTTAGGAAACAATAAAGCACTCTCTATTATTTTTCAAAAGAATTACTGAAAGGGTTTTTGCGAGGCTCTGGGGGCTTTCTTGGCAGTAAACGGTGACATATTGAGGTGATACTCCATCAGGGGGTCGTTTTTGTTTGCTGGTTCTGGTATTTGAAGCTTGCTTCTCTGAACAAATAGCCTCTTATTATAGTTTGTCAAAGGTCAGGGCTAGATTTAGCCTTCTTGTAGTTGAATCTTAGTACTCACGATGCTTAACTGTATCTGATGGTAGGTCACAGTCTCGAGATTGCACTTTGCGTTGTGTGAGCAAGCTTTATATTTTCAGGGGCCCCTCAGGTGTAGGAGCTGTGATAGAGTGACTCTCACACAGACATATGGATGCCAAACAGAGTGTTTTTAGGGTGTTTGTGTGAGAGGTGTGTGACTGTACCTCACACACCCACAGGGCCCCCAAGCACAGATGTGCCAGTGGAAGCAGGTAACTGTACGTGACATCAATTATCAGCACCCACAGCCTGTGCTACCCTTGCATCGAGATACAGGAGTGAAAACTGTGCTGCTCTACTGCTCCCCGAACACTGGACACCAAGGTGGGCAGGATATGAAAAGCTTACTTCGCTGAACAAATAGCCTCTTATTATACTTTATCATAGGTCAGGGCTAGATTCCCTCCTTCCTCCGAAAGCAGGTATGTAAGACGGCAGGAAGGTATATTACAATGTGAGTTGTGTTAATATGTGTGTTACTATGGGGAAGATTTATTGATGCTATTTTGGGTGCTGAGAGACATTCCATCGGTTCCCATGGTGACTGAAACTTATTTTGCACCAGAATAACACTCATTTTTACTTTAATAAATCTCCATTATGTGTCTGTGGATGCATCTTAATTTGTGTGTCTCTTTGTATAGTATCAGTATTGTTTATATTTGTGCATGCATGCTAATGTGTCTGTGACTGTTTATAATTAGGTGTCTGTGTGTATGTATCTATATGTGTGTTAATGTGCGTCTGTGACTGTATGTTAATGGTTTTCTTTATATGAAGGCTAGTGTGTTTGTTGATCTATCTATCTATCTATCAAACCAAGAGGCTGCACTCACCCGAACATGCATACATGCAGAGATTCAGCGCACTCGCTCATTCACTAAATAGCGATTTCAACTTTCACATAATGTAGTAGTTTTATTTAAAAACACATCACCTAGGCAAAAATAATGGGGGTTTAGTTAGAGTATATGATTATACATTGCATAAGCCTGGTGCCGGTGTTTTCAGCATCTGGCTAATGTCCCGTTGTGTCGTGGGGTTATTAGGCAGCGGTTTCTGAGACCTGCACCCCATTTCTTCCTTTGTGGAGGTGGCCTGTGGTCCCCAAGTCCTCCCACGCGGTAGGCCTTAATGCAGCGGCTGCAGATTTTCTTTTGCGGGGTGGCAAAAAAAAGGCATCGACGGGTGCAGCTGGATGCCCTGAGGCTAGATATGGTTCTCTCACTGTAGTTAAGGGCTCGATGTGGCTGATATTAGGCCAAGAATTGTATTTTTTTTACATTTGTTTGTATAAATTGTATTCGTATAATGATCGTTAAAGCTGGTAAAATGCACATTTGCATACACATGCAGTTTTTCACCAAGAGACCTGTAGAGGGAGTCTGGTTACAGTAACTTTGTCAATTACATAAAAACAAGGATCCCTCACTACACTAGCACGGGGTATGAAATTAAATTTGCGTTGCATCAATGAACTGGTAGACAAATTTGCTGTTCAGAAAGAACAAGGTCCCTGCCAATTAGTGTGAAATGAGTTTTAAATTAATAGCATGTATTTTTTTTATTTGCAAAAAAAGTCACACTTTTATCCCTATCTTGGAAAAATAACAATTACATGTATTAATATTGGTTATATCTGTTTTACGCCTTTAATGGCATAGATGGCATTGCCTTTTAAACATATTAAATTAGAATTCTGCAGCTAATTTGACTTTGTTTAAAACCAAAACGTGTAAAATCAGTGGCAGCAGCACAACAGAGAAAATCATTTTATTTCTTCTTAATAAATTCACATCACAACATATAGACATGGCTATTATGAACAGCAGTGGATTAAATTGTATCGGTAACAGGGTGTTAATGCCCCACATAGCTGATGTCATTTGAGAACGGCGTTTAATGTTAGATGCCTGTGGTTGTAATTTACTCTTAAGGGCAATAAAGTCATTTCGCTAAAGAAAATTGAACACTTTGTACTGATTATCTTGTGCTTATATGGCTCAGCACAATATAGTTGATATATAGTTTTATAGTTGTTGTTTTTTTTGTTTTTGAGAGTCGAATAATAAAAAGTGAAAATACTTCAATGTGGTAAATAATCAAGTTTTTGAACTAAAGAAACGTTCTTATCCTTAGATCCTTTAAAGCAATATTGAGTATCCTATGCATCAGAGTAGGAACAAACCCAACGTCCTTCAAGGAGTGGACATTATACCATGCAGTTTATTAAAGGTAAACTGATACACTGTCACTGAGAACGCTAATAGCACTATGTGAACCCGTTTTTCTGGCACTGTAGAGTCAATCCTGGAGTGCCCCCTCCCTCCCGCCCCACATTCCATGTCACTGAAGGGGTTAAAACCCCCTCAGCCATTTACCTGAATTCAGCGCCGATGTCCCTCGGCGCTGGGTCAGGCTCCGCCAATGCTTGTCAGCCGGCGGGGGAGACCTAATGCACATGCGCATTCTGAAAATCTAACGCTGAAGGTCCGTGAGGACAGCCACAGAGGGCAAACTTAGAGCTGCAATGTAAACAGCAGCACTAAGTGCAAAACGGTCACCGCATCCAGACCACTTCAATTAGCTGAAGTGGTCTGGGTGCCTGGAGTGTCCCTTTAAGCTATCTTATCTGACCTTTTAACATATAAATGTACATTTTCTCACAAAAAAAAGAAAATTAATGATTCAATAAAGGTAGAAAATTTTATTTATTTATTTATTTATTAAAAAATATGTCATATATTTCCATCTATCAACTAATATTGTTGTATCTTCATATGGAATTGTTTTAAAAGCTATGTGGAGAACTGGGGGGATTATACTCCTTTCATGCCCCTACTAGATTATTGGGGGTGGGGTTGTCCCTACACTTGCTCATATCTAACAATAAAGTAGTTGTTAAACATGGTAAAATTCAAAGTGAGAATGTTTTACACACTGCAGGTGGTATATGTGAATCTAACCCTGCTTTAATGCAACATACACCAAACAATCTTCTCCACTGAAGCACTGAAACATATTTTATAAAGTCATATCTTGCTCTGTTTTCAATCCCCCAGCTGACGTACATTTTATCCATAGCGTGACAAATTTTAGTCTAGATGTAGATCAAATATATACAAAATGACACCCACACATTACTATCACAGTGGCTCTCTCTCACCCCAGGGAAACTATACAAGATACCTTTTTATGTCCACAGCACCCATTGCCTATCGACCAGGCAACCACAGCATATGCTGCACTCAAAACATGGCACCCATCACACACATAACCATACTCTTCCCCACTCACTATCTAGGATGCTCATGACACATTATGTGTGGCATGCACCATGACTGCAAATCTTGCTAAGGACAAGGAATGTAATCGCTATAAGAATTTGCTGGGTATGTTAAACAGTCTGAGTTATTGCTACAGAGGTTATAAAAGGGTAGGCAAGAATGTCCATGCTTCTTGTCTCTTGGATTCCACTCAAGCAAGTCCAATTCTTTATTACGATCTTCAGATTCCCCTTCTTCCTTTGCCGTGCCTTGTTCTGCTGTCTTGGGGCTAGTGCTGCTGTGGGCCATATTACTGTCTGCTGGCCTCTGTGAATGAATTCAGCAGGCACCATAGCTCTAAGTCTCTTTCAGCCACACCTAGAGAGAGCAGAGAGCTTGTTAAAAGGCAACCATTGGAGGAGAGTTTAAAGGCCTATGAAACTGGAAGGAGGTCCAAGATTTTGTGGCCTCCTACTAGGCTGAGCCCCAAACAGTTATATACAAAAATATTGGCACATGTGTGCCAGGGGCTACTTACACTCCTGATACACATGACTTAGGCAGCTCAGGACTCCTGTTAATCTCTAAGTTACTTTTTTGTTCAGAGGCTGGGTGATGTTGCTGTGAGGCATTGGACATTGGAGGGGGATCGTTTTAACTTATGCATATGTACATCAGAGTGACATTAGCTTGGCTATTTTTGATACTTTGAGATATTACAGAGACTGCTCAGAGACTGCTGACTGAAGTAACTAATGATCTAAATGTACCAAACCCAAAGGCCACTACTACATACTAATTCTTCTACACCTCTCCACCAGCTTTGACACTGTTGATAGTGCTCTCCTTCATGACACTGTCCTTTTCGTGGTTCTCATCCTATCTCTCCCAACAATCCCTCAATGTCTCCTTTTCTGGTAAAATCTCCTCCCCATGTCCTGCCTTGGTTGGAATCCCACAAGGCTATGTCCTTGATCTCCTTTTGTCTTCTCTTTATACTGCCTCTCTTGGCAAACAAGAAATATAAGTCTCTTGGATTCCACTATCATGTGTACGCTGATGCCACCCAGATATACCTCTTCTCCCCTGATCTCCCTCTGGCTGTCCTAGAACTTGCCACCAGATGCATTTTCTTCCACCTCCTATTGGATGTCTGCACTCTTCCTGCAAGTTGATGGTACATGCATCAGCCTGCCCTTCCAATCTTGCTGAAATGGTGTTATCTTGGACTCTAGCCTCATCTTTATGCCTTACATTCAGTCTATTTCAAAATAATGCAAATTCCACCTTACAAACATTTCACATACCTGCCCCTTTCTAACACAAGATGCTAGTAAGTAGCTTGAGCACCTCTTCAGAATAGCCTGTTGATTCCCATGGTAACCGTCATTACTTACTCAACTTAATTAGTGGATCCATTGTCCACTTCGCTCTCACCTTCCAAATCTGATAAATTTTCACCCTGACAATTGAGTACTATTCTTCCGGCTGTCTTTCGTTTTGTGTTTTTATACCCCATCTCCGCTAGAGTGTAAACCTCAACAGGATCCGAATCAACCTATTGCTCCTGTCAAAATTTTTAATAGTTTGTCTCATATGTTGTTAAAGTTCCCCTGTAAATTTTGTAAAGCATTACAGAATCTGTTGTCGCTATATTAATGAAAATAATAATAATATCAACACAGGTCTGCAGTGTGGCATTGAGCAATCTCTTAAACCATATAATAAATGGCTATCAGCTACAATCACCCGGGGTTGCGGTGTCTCTCATGCAGACCACACTTCCATCAGACTGAGCCGGTAGCAGGACCCTAAGCAAACCACCCTTCTGCACATAAAAGGTATGTTAACAGGAGGTTGGCTAAAAATATAAAAAAAATCTGACAATATATGTGTCAGTGAGTGTATCTGTGTGTCAGTGTGTGCATGTGTCAGGTGTTTGTGTCAGTGTGTGTGTATTTGTGTGTCAGGGTGTTTGTATGTGTCAGTGTGTGTATCTGAATACATGTATTTATATGTGTGTATCTATGTGTGTAAATGTGTATGTTTATCTGTGTACGTACAGATGGAGGAGTGGAAGAGGACTCCAGTGGTAACCTGTGAAGCTCTGGTGAACTCCATGCTCATGAGGGTTAAGGCAGTGATGGAAAATGATGGTGGCCACACAAAATATTGACACTTTGGGCCCAATTTGGGGGGTGTACTCACTTTTGTTGCCAACAGTTTAGACATTAATGGCTGAACTGCAACTCCCATGATTCTTTGAATTACATAGATAGCCAGAGCAGGGGCGTACCTAGAGCATTTGGCACCCGGGACGGATCCTGTGCTTGGCACCCCCATCCAAAAAAACACAAAAAAAACTGTAAAAAATGTTAAAGGTTTTCTTTCTTTTTTTTTTACAATTTGTAAAATTTGCAAAACCGCTGTCAGCCCCTCCTACAAAACCCTTGTCCTGCCCTGCCCTTCCTACAAAACCTCTGTCCTGACCCTTCTACAAATCCTGTACTGCCCCGTCTACAAAACCCCCGCAACTCCCTTCCACAAATCCCCTGCTTATCCCCCCTTATAAAGACTCCTGTCCCAATACAAAACCCCCGCCCCCTTCTACAAAATCCCTGCAGCCCCACACACACATTTACAGGTGGACAGTCACACACTCAGTTACAGACAGACAATCACACACTGTTACAGGCAGACGGTCACACACAGTCACAGGCAGACAGTCACACATACACATTTCCTCCGTGCGCACCCTAACTACCATGGGACACTGTGCGGCCACAGCTCACACAGCCCCCTCCAGCCAGGGCCGGTGCAAGGATTTTTGCCGCCCTAGGCAAAAGTAAAGTTTGCCGCCCCCATGTGACATCACAATGCCCCACCCATATGATTTGCCATGTTAACTAACGCCAGTGCTGCAGTGCCGCCGTGTTTACATTAAAAGGCCTGCAGGGACAGGCTTTAGACACCAGAACCACTACATTAAGCTGAAGGGGTTCTGGGGACTATAGTGTTTCTTTAATGTGAGGTAAATTAGAGCTTAGTGCCACGAATAATATACTAGATTGCCTACTTACAACCAGATGAGGATGATGATGGGCTCTAGCTGTGTCAGGCTCCCGCGGACGGCTGCGAGGGGAGGCTGCACTCCGCTCGCAGTACTCACCCTCCAGCCGTCCGCGGTCCCCTCCGCCTCGTGGGTACGGCGAGCGGCATCCTTCCAGCCTCGGATGCCACCCGCCGTTCCCTCCACGTCCCCCAGCGGCAGCATGCATGACGCTGCACGCTGGGAGACCGCCCAGGGTTATACACGCCGGGGTCAGTCACCTGACCCGGCGTTTAAGGCAAAGTGCCACAATCACAGTGGGAGGTCTAAATATCTCCCACGTGTGATTGTTAATTCTGATTGGAAATCATCCAATCAGAATTAACCTGATGGTTTAAATACTTACCTTTCCTGTTTCTCCTTGCCCTGTTGTGGTCTTTGCTTGTTAGTATTGATTCTGAACTTGTGCTTCTGGTTACGTACTCTCTGGCTTGTTATCCGACTTTGTGACTTTCTCCTACCCTTTGACCTCGGCTTGTCTATCTTTATTCTGTCTTCTGGTTTCCCTTACTCGGCTTGTTTCCTGACTATTCTTTGTGTGCTTAGCCCGGCCACTCTAAGGTCCGGTACGGCACTTTGTGTGTGTGTGTGTGTGTTGGCGTGTTTGGTTCCCCGAAACGTGACATTACAACAGGGCCATAATGGAACCTGCTGACATACCACAGCTTCTAGTTAATCAAGAGGCTAGAATGGATGGCTTAGACCACCGTATGGATCAGTTTGCTCAAGCTTTACAAACCATTCTGGCTCGTACTGCACACTTGCAACTGGCCGTTCAGGAGGCTGCTGCTGCTGTGCCCGAACCCATTCCCACTCCAGTACCTGTTCCCGCTCATGTAGTTCACATGACGCCGCCACAGCGCTACAGTGGTGACCCAGCATTGTGTCGTGGTTTCCTCAACCAAATCGACATCCATTTGGTGATGAATCCACGCTCCTATCTCACTGACAGATCTAAAATTGCCTTTTTGATAAACCACTTGTCCGGGAGAGCTTTAGCATGGGCCAACCCCATTTGGGAAAATACGTCTCCTATGTCCTTTGCAGATTTTCTGACAGCTTTCAGACGCACGTTTGATCAACCGGTAGGGTTGCTTCTGCTGGCAAGGCTCTGCTTAGGGTCCGACAGGGTAACAGGTCTGTAGCAGATTACACTATTGAATTTCGTACTCTAGCAGCTGAAGTGGTTTGGAATAATGACGCCCTCGTAACAGCCTTTCAGGAGGGTCTGGCCGCTTATATACTGGATGAAATAGCATCCAGGGAATTACCTGCTCTTCTAGATGATGTTATAGACTATGTGATTCTTATAGATAACCGTATTAGAGAGAGGCGTAGCCAAAGACGGTTGGATACATGGGTGTTACCTGCTCTACCCAGTACTTCCCTGCTAGCGTTACCCGCTCCTGTGCAGCCATCCCCTGAACCCATGCAGTTGGGTGCTACAGGGTTAACTGAGGCCGAAAGAGCGTACCGTAGAAGGGAGGGGTTATGCCTTTATTGTGGGAAGAGGGGGCATCACTGTAAAGCCTGCCCTAAACTACAGGGAAACTGCAGCACCTAAGGCCTAGAGAGGGGTCGGCCTCGGGTGTTATGACTTTGTCCCCTCATATGTCCATCTCTAGACCGTTTATTACAGTTTCTCTCTTGGTCAATAAAACCACTATAACAACCAAAGCCCTGATCGATTCGGGTGCGGCAGACAACCTTATGGATGAGACCTTTGCCAAAACCGCAGCCCTGAATTTGATTCGAAAGGAGACACCCTTGGCCGTTGAGGCCATAGATGGTAGACCACTGGAGAAACCTCTGGTGACCCATGAAACCCAGGAAATAGTTATGTCTGTGGGTGTTTTGCACAAAGAGAAGTTAACCTTCAAAATAATTAACTCCCCAACAGCCTCCATCGTTCTAGGTTTTCCCTGGTTAGTTAAACACAACCCTGTTCTTGATTGGGGTTGTTTAGACATACTTTCCTGGGGGGAATCTTGTCAGCGAGACTGTGTGGCTCATGTACATCCTGTCTGTTTACTTAACGTACCCACGGCTAAACCACTCTCGGTTTCTGTGCCCTCTGTTTATGCGGATCTTGCCTTGGTTTTTGAGAAGAGGGAGGCAGATAAGCTACCTCCACATTGTGAGTATGATTGTGCCATAAACCTCTTACCGGGCACTATGCCTCCTAGGGG